CCCCCCCCCCCCCCCCCGATAAATTCTCATCGGTGGGATCATGAGACTCTTGACCGCTCCCATTGTTCTTCTTGGAAACAAATGTAATTAGGGTAGTATAACGGTCAATTATGATTTTTTAGATTGATTATTATTGTATAAATTTTAGATGTGTTTAATTACATACTAATAATACACATTAAATATATAAAAACGTTTTATATTTCTAAGAGACTCAAACTTTTGACATGTGGATATTAATAGAAATTCTATAATTTGAAGTAGGCATACAAGTTTGTGTTTGCCAGCTATTTTTTTTTGGGCAGCTTGGTGTTTAGTCCATGATGGTCTGCTAATGATATTCATTTTTTTTTTTGGGGCAGCTTGGAGTTTAGTCCTTGATAGCCATCTTCAAGTTTACATAGTCAAGGCCGGCTGTGGACTTATTTGGTAAATGTGTCGGAATATTAGAACCAAAAATGCCCATTGTGGCGTGGTATTGTTTTGTTAGAAATTTAGAATAGCCATCCACACGTTTTTCTCCCATGCAATAATAAATAATGACCATTTTCATGTCCATGCTTAAAAGAAGAAGAAAAAAAAAAAACCATTTCCTTATTATATACTCTTTGAATAAAAATTCTAGAGTTGTCATTTTTGTTGAAAAAACTTGATTGTATAGACTGTATTGTAACATAAAAATTGCTTCAAGTCATGTATGAAATTTTTTTCTAAAATTAGTATTTATCCCCACCAGTTATTTATAAATGTGTACACCAAAAGTTCTACAAATCTATTCTCAAGATACAATAAAATTTTACAAACCTGTCTGTGTATTGCACTTACGAAGATAGCTAGTGTAGACGCAGTACCCCCTCTAGTTTAGAATCCGTCTGTAATTCTGAACCTATAGATCACTATGAGTAAGAGATTTGAAGAAAGCCTCCAATATCGACTGTGTCCTTGACTCCCACTCACATGAATCAGATAATGCCATTCGTCCCCACCACATAAATTAGAATACTAGTTAAAATAGAAAAGAAAGAACATATGTAAATTTAGAAAAATAGAGAGAGAAAGAATGAGAGAACAATTCTAATAAAAAATATAGAAATGTTTAATGGTATATTTTTGGAGTATAAGACATCACCTATTTATAAACTCACTAGTGACTTTTCATAAATGATAAAACCATTTGAAATTTTGTTTATTCAGATTAAAAGGGTATCAATGATGATTTTATGAAAATGTGTTAATGGTGACTTTATCAAAGGATGTAACTATTTGAATTAGTGTTTTTAGCCAAAACTTACTAACTTTTAATTTGTAACTTTTCATGTTATTTTTATTTCACAACTTTTTAATTTCTTCCAAAAGTTACAAAAAAGTATTTTCAAAAATAAACCATCCCAAAAGACTTCCATTTTAACAATACTCACCTAATGCAAACCATAGCCGATTGAGATGTTATTAAAGTGAAATATTATGAGTAAAGTTAAGTTAAAATGCTTCGTTTGGGATCATAAAGTGAGCCTACTCTAAACCCAATGTAGATCCAACTCCTTTGCTTAGGCTATCCCTCGATCCCTCCAACACAAGTTACACCCCCAACCCCACTCCCCACATCTTTGTCGACCTGAACCCGATCCACACCCAATCTCTCGAAGTCTTGCACCCACCCTATTGTCTTTGGAATTCATATTGCATTCCATTATTTTTCTCATATCCCACAATAAATTTAACCTACTCCAAAATAGAGGCGGATTATCACTAAGATGATATTATGTAATCAATGACTCATGATCCCGTTAATCAGGTATAAGACACCACATTTCTCTAGGGGATCCCGTAGTAAATAGCACATTGAAATAAGGGAGTTCATTTATCGCATATTGTATATTTTTAAAAATTGGAGATACTATGAATCATTGTTGACATGATATCACTTTTATAATAAATATTTCCTCGGCTGACCAGCTCTTCCAGCCTACTGATTGTTCTCATTGTTAAAAGCTTGGACTCCAAAGAACAAACCAAAGGCTCATGCCCTTTTAGGTACCCCTCATGCTTTGTGAATCCATTTCATCTTATATATGGTTTCAGCATTCTGTTGGGAGCAAAACTTTAATTATACAATACAAATTATCAAGCAAGAAGAATAGATGGATAAATCGAGAACAAAAGAAAGAATGTCATGAATTCTTTACTTAGAAAAAACGACAACTCACCAACACCAACATCTATTGCTCTTTTTAGAACAACTACTATAGCTATGACTAAAAGTTCGATTGAACCTTATCAGTCTTATAAAGCACTCAAACATATCAAGAAATAAATTATCTTGACTCACACAGTGATACATTATCTCCCTCTTATTCAAAATGATAAGTGGGACCAAATCCTTAAACCCCACAAGTCATAAAGCAAAATGGCCCTGGCCCCACCTTTGAAAGAAAATTAAAGTTGGGTGACCCCACAAAAAAAAAAAGGTCAAAATCTGGTACGCCTAGTTTTGCAAAAATAATCTTTCATTTTATTTCCATCATCTTTCCGTTTTTTCTGAGGCTTTTTCTTCATACATATTCCAATCTTAGAATGCATTCGTGTCCCAGCACCTTCATTGCTTAGGCAAAGGTTGTGGGCGATCTCTCTGCTTTTTTGTAGTAGGAAGAAGAATAATCTTTATAAGACAATGTGGTACGAGATGTCAATGATAAATAACCTTACTATAATTTTGAAAAGATTAACTCTTGAATTCAAACTCGTAATATATATTTTGGGTGGATGAATATTAATTTTTGTTTGAAATCTTAAAAAAGTATATCCAGTGCATTAGCCTTTCGTTATTGTAAGGTCTAAGAAAGATTAAATGCATGCAATCATTCCCCTGTAAGCAGAAAGATTATTTATGTTATTCGAATTCGTGACTAATTTTTTGTTTATAACTAAATTTACGAGATGTCAATGATAAAGAGTCTTACTATAATTTTGAAAAGATTAACTCTTGAATTCAAACAAGTAATATAAATTTTGGGTGGATGAATATTTATTTTTGTTCGAAATCCTAAAAAGGTATACTCAGTGCACGAGTCTCTTATCATTGCGAAGTATAAGAAAGATTAGATGTATGCAGACTTTTCCCTACAAATAAAGAGATTATTTCTGTAATTCAAACCTGTGACCTTCAAATCACAATGGAGTGCTAAGGTTGACCCTCAAATCCTAACTCTAACAAATCTTCAAAGAATTAGAAAAGAGAAAAAATGAACAAGAAAGTATCTTAGATTTTTATAAAATGGATTGTTATGCATAACTTGTATCCAGAATAATATGATCTTTTGCTTGGACATGAAGCATATGTAATCATGAATTCTCTTAGAAAAAACAGTACGAATAGTTTCTGCTTTACTTTAGTACACGTAAGGCAAATCAATTACAACTTTTGATCAAGAAACATTCCCAAAGTGGTATTTTTGTCAAAAAAAAAAAAAAAGTGTAGTGTTTGTCATATGATATATTTTTTTTCCTGCCAGTAGTAATGAGAACTTCATCAGTATAAATCTGTATTTTAGTTCACAGTCTTACTATGGCCTCAAGAACAAAAGCATTTTGTTGATAGTTGCTT